GTCTAAAAGGCATGGACAACAGAAAGCACCCACACCATGAACTGTCCTGAACCATCGGTGCAGTAGAACGCGCAACAGACCTCTCCACAAGCCCCAGGCCCTTCTTTTTGCATGAGCCCACAATAACCCTGAACCCCCAGCCGAGTGCGTGGCCATGTTGACCGCCTCTCCCAGAAAAGCTTCCAGCCTTCAGGCTTTAGGGTTTTTAGGCTTGAGGGTTTTGAGGACATGATCCCAAAGCTCGACCCTGAACCCCCAAGCCATGAATGCCACGTAAGTGCGTGGATCGAACCTATGAGCAAGACTTGTGGTATAGAGCTGAACCCTAAACCCTAAACTATAGGAAAACAGCCCCAGGCTCTTGATTCAAACCCTCGGCTCTTGCTGGCCCAGGGAACGTCTGAGGAATCTCGAGGATGGATCGGATGGCTTGAACCTGAGGACATCTCAGGCTTTGAGGTTGTTGGTTTAGAGTCTAGGGTTTCGAGTTTTTGGTTTAGGGTTTGGGGCAGTTTAGGGTTTAGGGGACATCTCAGGCTTTGCAGGCTTTGAGGTTTTTGCTTTAGGCAGTTTCGGGTTTAGGGTTTGAAGTTGTTGGTTTAGGGTTGCTTAGGGCTTGAGGTTTTTTGGTGGGAGCTTTGGAGGGGACGATCGAAGTTGCCAGAATTGGATTTTCCAAGTCGGATTCAATCACATCAGGTGGTTTATGGCTCTGAGAAGAGGGTCGTGCTCAGCGCTCTGGTAAGTGTCAACCAGTTCAGAAAATAGTGCATATCCTGCAGCACCCGAGCCTGACAGATTTAGGACAGGCCGTTTAGCCTCGAGCCTTTATGTGAGAATGTCTGCTTCATGATACCTGAGTTTGGTGCTAGGCTGTACAAGCAGGGCTTTGGGCGCAAGTCTGCTGCCATGTCCATCTCGACCCTCTAAGGCAGGAAATCCACATGCTTTCTTCTTCTGTCTCCTGCACAAGCCCACAAGCCCGAGCATGAAGATTACGTTGTTTCGGGGGCGCAACCGGAAGAACGGCAGCGTAGGTTGCAGAAGGAAGAGGACAGGGAGGGAGGGAGGGAGGCCTCAAAAGTGCTGCTGTGGAGCCCACTCTCGCGCATCCGCGGCCTTGTTGGTTGCAAAGAAGAATATCCGGCTGTGATGGGGTGAAGCTTGGTCCTCGGTGACCATAGCATGGCACGTGTTTCCAAGGGTTGCACAGTTAATCACCCCCTAAACAATCATCCCCTAAACCCTAAACCCTAAACCCTGAACCCTGAACCCTGAACCCTGAACCCTAATTAAACCCTAAACCCCAAACCCCAAGTTTTTCCAATGATGGAAGCCTGGAGGAACAGGATCGAAGGCTTGGGGTTTTGGCACCAACATGGACCGAAGCCAGCGAGCCTTCAAGATGCTAAAGTGCTCCGACTTGCAGTCTTGCCGAAACTTTGGAGGGGTTGCGATACTAGGGGTACCTTTTTGGGGTCCTTCTTTTAGGGTTCCTGCTATTTGGGGTCTATATTGGGGGTCCCTCATTGTTATTAACCCGTACTTGTCTTGAGGTTCAGGGTTCTGAAGTTCTGCAGGGCAGGAGGGGGACTGTCGAAGCTTTGGTCACGAACTTTGTGAAATGTCTAGTCGAACTTTCTTCGAGCACATCCTGCCAAGCTGTTTTCAGAAAACAATTCTGTCAAGAACGATGAATCCCAAGCAACAGGCCGAACGTGTCAATGAAGTGTGCTTTGCAGCCCGAGTGCGGTTTGCAGCACGAAGCCATGGGCAAACTCCTCTGTGATGCGATCTGCCTGCGGACAGGAGTGTGGTCACACACGCACGCACGCGCACGCACGGACGCAAGCACGCACGCGCACGCACGCACGCAAGCACGCACGCGCACGCACCCACCCACCCACCCACACACACGCGCCACCCACCCACCCACCCACCCACCCACCCACCCACCCACCCACCCACACACACACACACACACACACACACACGTGTTGCACAAACAAGCCTACAAAGCGTAACGTGAAGCCAAATGGTCTGACTTCCAACCACGTAGCTGGGCCTTCGAAAGGAATCTAGCCATGGTTTTTGTGTGATAGATGGACTACGAAAACAGTTCTCATGCCCAAGTGTGGCACAAGTCACTGCTAAGGCGGTAAGGCCTTGTAGATCACACATGCCTAAGCCCATGTCTGGTAAGCCCCATGGCATGAAATGGACTGGCACGCTGCACTCCGAACATACGCACACACACACACACACACACATGCACACATTGTCAAAACATTTGACCCTCACGACGTACTGAAACAAAAAAGCTACATAAACCATAAACGACCCTGACCCAGCTCTGATTGATCTGCGCCAAGGAGGCCTTTGGACGGGACCAGTACTCGAGCAGATTCGCGACGCCAGCAGAGTTAGATTCCACCTGACGCATGCGTGTCTTTGGTCTTTGGCCTTTGAGTGTTCAGAAATTGGGTATTGTGTTGTGTGTGTGTTGCCGGCACAAGAGATTGGCGGTTCATAATATAGTGACATGGGTGTTTCCATCAGCATACCATGTACACTCAGAACCGTCGTTGGAAAGCTCAGCCATTCTTGCCCTTCTATCATGACACACTCTCACCTGCCGCAGAGCCCCGTCCAACGATGCACTTTCGAGTCTGGGGAAGGGGGCTTAGGGGTTTGGGTTCGGGTTGAGGCCGAACAAAAGTAGAGTCTGAGATCTTTCGGGTGTGATTCGATGACTTGCTGCACCCCCCACGTTTCCACACCAAACCCTTTCTAGCGGGCCTTGGCCACTGACAGTATCTCGCACTCGCATAGCGTATCAAGTTTATGGGTCGCATGCACGAAGGGAGGCCGACTAACCGACTACCGATGCTGGTTTCTTGCAATGTGGCGGGCGAGAACGAGTCAGCACAAGTTGCCTCGAGCATTTTTTGTTAGCGAGCAACTGTCGGAAGCCCATCGTGCATACGCACTTGCCATGCAAAAGCATGGCAAACAGGAGGCTTTGCAGTTTAAGCCTGTGCAACAAGCTCAGCCTCACGAAACATCTCAGAAAAGTTCGAAGCGACTGCACCGCTCAAAAGACACACTCTGTCATACTCCGTAGTCCATGATAAACAAGAATGTGCGCCTTTACGGGAAGCTGAGTTGTTCAGAAGCGAATGCAATGAGACAAGGGCCGCATGCTTTCCATGCCTTGCACACTTAGATCCCACTTGCTCCAGAGCCTCGAAATCTCAGAGTCTCCCTGGCTTCTGTACAGTGTACGCCGGGCCGTGTGCACATTCAGTCAGGGTAAGCCCTGAACTCCTTCAATTCAAACACAAGTTCGGCTATCACCGACCAGCCTATTATAAGGTCCGAAACTTGAATCTGCCGCGAAGCCCCATACAAGCCCCAAATCAGCCGCGGCTCCTCCCCTGGCTGTGGAGTCCGATTTGGGTGCTTTCTCTAGAGCTCTCCGTAGCTTCAGGCTTTACAGGGCGTAAGGGTTTAGGGTTTAGGGTTTAGGGTTTAGGGTTACTCATGGTAGATCGGGAATTCTGGGCAAGCCCTGCTCCGCTCAGCTTGTCAGCAGCACTGCTTCGCAAAGCGTCGGGTTGGCCTCAGTTTGAAGGCTTTGCCTAAACCCTACACCCTACACCCTAAACCCTAAACCCTATAAACCCTAATCTTGAACGCAATAGCTCTGTGCAGGCCCCGGTCGGAGCGGCTGCATGCTAGTGCGAGCCTGTCATGTGAAGCTTGGCAGCCGACTTCCATCATGCTGTACTGCAAAATCAACTTACGGTTTAGGGTTGAGGGTTTAGGGTTGAGGGTTTCTTCGTGCACCAAAATCAACTTTGGGTTTAGGGCTGAGAGTTTCTTCGTGCACCAAAATCGAAAGCCTTCCCACAGTAGCCGAAACCCCGAAACCCCCCCCCCATCCCAAAATCTCCACGCACGGTGCGCTCCTACGCCACAATTCAGAACTGTTTAAACAAGTACCCAGCTATCCCAAGCACAGCAAACCCAGCTTGGTGTTGTAAATCTTGTGGGCTCCGTTTGTTTGCTTCAATTTGGGGTTTAGGGTTTAGGGTTTAGGGTTTAGGGTTTAGGGTTTAGGGTTTAGGGTTTAGGGTCGGCTCTGAAGGTTGCCCCAAGGTTGCTTGAAGCTTTTGTGAACGCTTTCTAACCGTGCCCTGCGGCCCGTATCTGTCGCACCAGGCATTCCCAGGCCTCTTTGAGAGAGCCAGCCTCCAGCGAAGGCTGCAGAGAGGGTGGTTGGGGGTTTAGGGTTTAGGGTTTAGGGTTTAGGGTTTAGGGTTTAGGGTTTAGGGTTGTTGCAAGTGGGGGGGGGGGGGGGGGGGGGGGGGGGGGGGGGGGGGGGGGGGGCAAAGAGGGAGTTCAGCCCGCCAAAAGAAACGCCTATAGCAGTTGGAACATAGGAGACTCTTTGGACAAGAGGTGACTAGGCTTAGGCGGTCGATTAACTCAGCCAACTATCTACGCATATCTATATATATATATATATATGTATATGTATATATATATACAATATACCGTTCATATACACACATGTATATATGAACTCTATATGTATATACATATATATATATATAGGTATGTATGTATGTATGTATGTAGGTATGTATGTATGTATATATGTATGTATGTATAACCCGACCTGGAATGGCCCAACATATATCTGCAGCAACATCTGTGAACTCACGAACATTTGTGAGCAAATCATCTCGGTGCCGCGCTAAGATCCATGCAGAGGATCTAAACCCGATGTTAAGATCCATGCAGAAAATTCTCAGATTTAGGGTGAAACCCCATCAAACTACTAAATTTCCATCGGGACTTGAACCCAAGGTCCGAAAGTGCGAGATGGTGTTGATGCGCTCACGTACTCGCATCCCAAGGAGCACCTCCCCCCCTCCTCTTATCCTCGAGCTGGCAGATTGAAGAGTACGAGAACCCCCAGCGGGCCCCAGCTATTACAAGAAACGGTCTGCCTTGTAGAAGGTTCGCAGGCCTTTGATCAAGGCCGTCGCGGTCTCTGGCGTCAACCGTTCAATGGCCGACACAGCAGCTTCCTGCGTTGGTTCCGGGTTGGTATCAAGTCCGCTCGGGTAAGCCATGCAAAGTTGGCAAAGTTGGGGCCGGAGTCCGGCTTGAGGGGTCCAGCCACTCGATTCATACAGTGTCATACAGGCCCGTCACAATTAATAGGAATTCCCGACCGTGCCCAAACTGCCCTCCATCCGCAACAGACCCCGATGCCGAACAAAGCCGCATGCTGTGGTTCTGAAGCTCCAGCCAGGATGCGATGCTACCGGCTGTAGGGTTTAGGGTTTAGGGTTTCCCTCTCAGAAAAAGCCTTGCCTGACTCCTCTCCAGCAGAACACACAGGAAACACTTCGAACGAGCCCCTAAACTGCAACCTATGGCCCATCTAGACCTGCCCAAGCCTAACCCCTCAGACCCTAACACCACCAAGACAACCCTAGCCCTGCAAGTCCTCACAAAGTGTGGCCAGCTCGAAAGCATGCGCCTGCTCGACAAGCGCCAGCTCATCCTCCAGGGTGGGGTTTAGGGTTTAGGGTTTAGGGTTTAGAGTTTAGGGGGTTTAGGGTTTAGGGGGTTTAGGGTTTAGGGAAGCTTTCCGGAGTGCTCTGAGGGGTTCGTGGGCTCAGCCGTCATCTCGGTAGACTCCTCTAAGCTGAGGTCGTTCTCGTAGGGCATGCCGTAGCAGTGTCCTGGAAGAAGGTGGAAGGCTCGGGGGGCGAAAAACACTACCTACATTGGAACCTAAAGTCTATGAATAATACCTACTTTGGGCTATTTGGAGCCTTAGAAAAAGGCTCTAGCAAGTCATGTCTACCGAAATGAGTACTCTTGGCGAATACCCGAAACGGACCCAAATTATAGCTATCATGTGTGGTTCTGCGTGGTCGAGGTCGTGGTTGAATGAAACGCAAACATAAACCCTAAACCCTAAACCCTAAACCCTAAACCCTAAACCCTAAACCCTAAACCCTAAACTTTTCAAGAAATCTACGACCGAACAGCCCAGCGTAGCCCAGCATCTCAGTAGCGCTCGAACGACGGCTTCCTGGGAAGAGACTAGTATATATTAGTATATAATAGTATATATTAGTATATAATAGTATATAATAGTATATAATAGTATATAATAGTATATAATAGTATATAGTAGTATATAATAGTATATAATAGTATATAATAGTATAAAATAGTATATAATAGTATATAATAGTATATAATAGTATATAATAGTATATAATAGTATATAATCGTATATAATAGTATATAATAATATATAGTAGTATATAATAGTATATAATAGTATATAATAGTATATAATAGTATATAATAGTATATAATAGTATATAATAGTATATATTAGTATATAATAGTATATAATCGTATATAATAGTATATAATAGTATATAATAGTATATAATAGTATAGGGTGGAGGGCCTGACTATCCTGATCGCCTAACTAGCTCATGGTTGGGATAATATGAAGGTTTTTCCCTTATACTAACAGACCTTATTAAGGACTCTAATATGGGGTACGATCATCCCCATTAAGGACTGCTAGTAGACGGGTGAACATCCCAAGAAACGACCCTTCAGCCCCAACTGAAATAGGGCCCCAAAAAAGCACATAAGCAAAAAATAGGATAGGGATATATCCCATATAAACCCCTTTATAATGAAGCCCAATAAGGTAGGGATATCCCTATGAAATGCTTATGCTTATGTCCTTTTTGAACCCTAAACCCTAAACCCTAAACCCTAAACCCTAAACCCTAAACCCAAGTGCTCCAGGCGGCGTTACAGGGCAAGCTGACTGTGCCCCCGGGCGTGCCCTCCTGGACAGCAGTAGTCGGAAGGAGGAACCCTAAACCCTAAACCCTAAACCCTAAACCCCAAGAGTCCACTCAATGGGGCTTAAGCCGGACGGGGCGCTTTGAGTCTTGGGCCTCTGGGGAATTCGTCTGGCTTATTCTGGCTTCAATGCCCAGTCATCCGCGGGCAGCTTGGGGTTCTCATTTAGGGTTTACAGGGTTAGGGTTTAGGGTTTAGGGTGACTGATAAGCCGATCTAAGCTTGATTCGGGTCGCATTTGACAGAGTAGGCCGATGAGTTGGGAGCTTTCCATGGCGCAGGTTTCTGTGGCGACTTCGGGCTGTGGCTTCGTTCTTGTCGGCTCAGGGGCGCATTTGGGCCTGCACGTTTTGGCTCGTAGCATCTTGTGTAGGATCTTGTCATTGGGTTCTAAGTTTACCTTTTTTTGAGAGTGGCATGGTCACTTCATGTATGGGCATGTTCGGGTCTCATGTGCAGCCTCAGGCTGCGTGGAGCTCAACCAGGCCCACTGACGCAGGACCGTGGGGCCAGATGTGTGTTCAGGGTTCTTGGGCGTTATGGGTGAGCATATTTCCCCATCCTTTTCTGCCGACGAAGCAGGTGAGCATATTCCCCAAAGAATCTGGGAACGTCCTTCATTGGAGAGCGAAGCATGCAGCGAAACACCGGCGAAGCAATGGCCAGCACCTGAGCTTGCGGTTTAGGGTTTAGGGTTTAGGGTTTAGGGTTTAGGGTTTAGGGTTTAGGGTTTAGGGTTTAGGGTTTAGGGTTTAGGGTTTAGGCTGCCGCATGACCTCGCCGGTGACTCTCTGTGACTCTTGCCATGGGTCTCACAGCATGCTCTCCCCTTCTGCGAGTCAGAGGGAATCCCATCTAGTAGGGTACTACGACTTGCGAAGAGTTCCCTCATCCCAGGGGAACGTCAGCCAGCTGAAATGTTACCCTGCTGGAGTCCTTGTGAAGGGAAGCTCGGTAACCCAGACCATGTGCTACTCTCTCTGCAAAAACATGCAGCATGGTCGAACCTTGATGTGCCCTTCATTCAGTGTGCGAATGTGGCCGTTATCCATTGGGGTTTTGGGGTTGTTGTGCAGAAGCCCGCTTGCAAAATGTACCCCCAAATTCCCGCGTCTGCGCGGTGTGTCTTCTCCGCCTTCCTAACCCAGGTCAACTTAAGCCTTTGCAAGTGCCGAAAGAGAGTGCTTCTCGAATTATAGTTCCTAAGCCTCCCGGCCCCGTGAGGCCGTTAGGGAACCCTTAGGAAGCTTAAGAGACAGCATTCCGAAGCCCATAGGCAAGGGGAAGGCGCTGATCGATGGGCCTGTACTTCCGCACCATCGGAGCAGTGGATAAACATGTCCGTGAAGTCCTGGCTTGCTTTGAGGTTCACGGTACTTATGAACCAATTATAACTGTACTTATAGCTGTACTTATAGCCATATTAGGGCACTTAAGGGGCTTATAAGTGGGTTATAAGTACTGCCAGAAGTGGTTAAGAAGTGCCATGAACCTGCAAGTGGGAGTTCACTTCGATGCCGTTCGGCGGGCTCGTTATAAAAGACTCGAAGCCTTCATGACATTCTGCATGAACCCCCCCTACCTGCTGCGCTACACAGACTTTAAGAGACCGTAGTTCTTGCATTAAGAATAGGTGTCATCGAAACGCCAGGCCAGCAGAAACAATCCAAACCTGGGGAGTCGGATCTGAGGGCGTTTGGGGGGGGTGGAGGGTGGGGGTTGGGGTTTCAGACCGCCAGTTCTTCGAGCGCCGTGGTGATACCTTTTTTTGGTCGAGGGCTTCATGGCTTCTTCCACAGACTTTTGCATTGCCTGCAGCCTGTTCAGGGTTTAGGGTTTAGGGTTTAGGGCTTAGGGTTTAGGGTTTAGGGTTTAGGGCTTAGGGTTTAGGGTTTAGGGTAGAGCATCTTGAAACTGGGGATCTTCCGGACGTCGTGGCAAGAAGCGTTGAGAAGCTCTCCGCGCACTTCGCCCGTGCGTCCCAGCACGTGCCCGCTAACACAACCACAGAGCCCAAGAGAGACTGACAAGAGAGACTCGCGGTTTAGGGTTAGGGTTTAGGGTTTAGGGTTTAGGGTTTAGGGTTTAGGGTTTAGGGTTTAGGGTTTAGGGTTTAGGGTTTAGGGTTTAGGGTTTAGGGTTTAGGGTTTAGGGTTTAGGGTTTAGGGTTTCGTGCAAGGTCTACTTAGGCGCTGGAGGGGTCTTGCACGGTCCATAGGGTTCAGAAGCTCATCTAACCCGACTTCTTATTCCCAGAGACCCCCCTGAACCCTAAACCCTACACCCAAAACCCAAAACCCTAAACCCTAAGCCCTAAGCCCTGAACCTAAACCCTAAACCCTAAACTTGAAAGATCCTTCGTCCCCGCCTGCGTTTTCCAAAGCTTCTCCACCAGGCGAATCTCCATCTCCCGCCGGCGCTTCAGAGACTTCGTGAGCACCCGGAGCCCTGTGGTTTAGGGCTTAGGGCTTTAGGTTTTAATTTAGTAGTGTTGCTGTTGTGATTTGCTTAGTACCATTCTTGCTACTATTCCTGTTGCTGCTATTATTGTTGCCATTCTTAGTGTCTTAGTGCTATTCTTATTATGTGGTATAGGGTTGAGGGTTTTGATTCACACCTAAGGTCTGAGGAACCATTCTCTCTCAGTTCAGAACTGACAGTTTCACAAAGTTCACTCTCATAACCGGGATGGGTTTTGCTGGTTTGTCGGTTTGAGGGTAGACTCGATGTCGGGATTCTTTCAGTTTCATACTTTCAGGTCCAAGGACATTTGAGTACTCCATGCAGACCAAATCACGGGTTGCAGCGTGTCAGACGCTAAAGTTGTTCAACTGATTGGCTCTTCCTCAACATTTCCTTATCTCTGAAGATCAAAGCACCACTCAGGGCACGAAAGCAATGAAGCAGGACGAGGTTGCATTCGAGAACATTACAAACAAGAGCAGGCATCTTTTTTTGGTGCAAACACCCCCGCAAAGAGAAAACCTGGGTTAAAGAAGTCCTTCTTTTGCCCAACCAGGAAAGACGTGGAAAGACCTTCTGTGAGAGAAAATCTAGCCACATGTCCAGAATCTCACAATTGCGAAGCTCTCGTTCAAGAACGACACACCCACAACGGCTGCCTTCATACTGTTTGCTTTCTTGTGCTTAGGGCTTTTGCAGGGTTTAGGGTTTAGGGTTTAGGGTTTAGGGTTTGGGGTTTAGGGTTTAGGGTTTAGGGTTTAGGGCAAAGAACTTGAAGACGACTGTGCTTGGAGGTGGGCACTGGGCTTAGGGAGTGAAGTGAGTGCAGCCTCGAATGCGCACGTTCCGCCCGCCCTGCGCGGCCCGCTTGACGTACAGTCGGGCGCGGGTGGTGCGGTGTGGCAGTAAGTCCTGCGTCACAGGCGTTACATGCAGATGTCGGATGCGGGGCTTGTATCGGCTTGCACAACAATGCAGGAAAGCAAACGATAACCACGCCCATAATTCAAGTCCAGGCCAGTGCTGCTCTTAAAAGAAGGTCGAAGGTGCTGGGGTTCACAGGACTGTGAGCGGTGGAAGAAACCGAAGAAGACGACTAAGCCAACGGACAAATTCAGGAATGCGCTCAACACCTGATGTAGGAAACCATGAACTGCCGTGGCACTTCTTCGAGAACTCCCGAAGCTGCGGCCGCTTATAAGTCAAGGCTGTATCAGGATCCCTCAAACATCCAGCTTTCAAACAGTCCACTGGTGCAGTTCATCCTCACTGAAGGCCCCTGGCCTCGGGTTTTTATGGCTAGCCTTTCCCGTCCCCTTGGACCTTGGAGGGCAGTGGAATCGGCTCCTGAATGGGACTGTGGGGGTGTTGCTTTGTGGGGAGCTCGCATCTTTGGAGGCTTGAGGAGAAAGCGGGCCTATGGCTGCCTGCGTGAGGCGTTCCACTACGAAACTATGTCCATGAGCGGGGTCTCATGGCTCAAGCCCCTGGCTTGGGACCTATTGAGAGTTTGGCCGGGTCTTGATACTAACCAAGTGGTAGAGGCCTTATCAGCAGCACGGACCCGAGCCGTGATCCCGAACTCTTCCATCTCTTCCGCACCCACGCAACATGTAGCCCAATCGCCAGCAGCACCCTCCCCCAACAAAGCCCACAAAGCCCAGAAACACTCTTGGGAAGCCTTCGAGGCTCAGAGTCCCTACCAGGCTTAGATGCCCAACACCTCGGGTTTAGGGTTTAGGGTTTAGGGTTTAGGGCTTAGGGCTTAGGGTTTAGGGATCAACCCCAACGAACGCTGAAATCCGAAAGCCAACCTCACATCTTAGACCTGTTTTCGGCCCCAAAACCACCCATCTACCCCAATTTTCGCTGCCCCCACGCCCGCTGTCAGTTCCAAGCAGCTCCAGGAAATCCCAAAGACCAGAACTGATAGTGTTCCTCAGGAAAATGCTCCATAGGATGGTTGTCAAAGGGGCTGGTTGAGGCCCAAATTTTTGGCCACCCGACTAGCTGACTGATCGCCACTCCGCAGTGCCGATACGAGGCCTAAACCCTAAACCCTAAACCCTAAACCCTGAATGCCTTCCATTTTTTTGGATTGGGTGGGAACGCGTAACACGCTGTGGATCGGCGGGAGCGCAGTTTTCTTTCTCCCAGGCGGCGCTTGCAAGGCGTGCGTTTGGAATTCTCTTGGGGCGCCGGAGTCTCTGGGGCCCTTGCATGCGAAATAGCTTTGGAAACCGACACAGCCACACAAATGTGGTTTGGAAAAGCTGGCTTTGGGGTCGGAGCTTTAGGGCTTTAAAGCCAGAGCAAACAGCGAATGTACAACATATTGCGATACTAACGAATTGGCCAAGGACGGCGCCCGAAATTCGAGTGCAACCCTTATGTTACGTACATCTCCCGCCTCACGCCAGTGGATGACAAACTGACAACCCCCTTCAGTTCTTCAGTTCCGACAGTACCGCCTCACGCTGCAGCACAAAAAATGGATTCTTTCCATAGGGTTTAGGGGTTAGGGTTTAGGGTTTTCCTCCTATTTGCTTCAGAACCCCCCAAAGAAGATAACAATTCCCCTATTGCTCTTATGAGGACGAACATTTTTGGACGAACATCTTGATTTTTTGGGAGTTCTTAAGCAAATAGTAGTTTGGTTCAAGTTCGAGTTAGCTTTAGGGTTTGGAGGTTGCATTGCTGACGCTCCGACAGGCAGGAAGGATGGAATTCTATCTTCCTCTCTTTCCAGAGACAAGGCTAGAAACCAAGAAAAACAGCAAACCAACGCAGTACCCCCTAGTTAGCCGTGCCAGCTAGATGGCCCCAGCCCAGGTACGAACACAGGCATCTCCGCAAGTGGCTCGTTGTCCTGAGCTGAGGTGTCTTGAAATAATCGACACCCCAAAGCCCTAAAGCCCTAAAGCCATTTTTTTGCTAAATCCCAAATCCCAAATCCTAAATCCTAACTTTCGGCGAAAGGTGACCGGCAGTGCAGGCGACGCATGTGTCGCGAGCAGTTCTGATGACCGAGCTATCCAAGTCTGGTCAATCAGCAACCGGACGGACGGACCCTAAAGCCCTAAAGCCCTTTTTTTGCTAAATCCCAAATCCCAAATCCCAAATCCTAAATCCTAACTTTCGGCGAAAGGAGACCGGCAGTGCAGGCGACGCATGTGTCGCGAGCAGTTCTGATGACCGAGCTATCCAAGTCTGGTCAATCAGCAACCGGACGGACGGATCAACTACTTGGAACTTTGAAAATTTTGAGTTCAAGAATCCAACCCTAAACCCTAAACCCGAAACCCTAAACCCTAAACCCTGGAAGTTTGAAGACCCGCCTCAAGAGTACAACCTCGAAACTAGCTGTCGGGATGGGACAGGCAACCTCTGCGATGAAGAGCTGCACATGCTCTGGGGTGAAACCTCAGCGAGCCGGATGGAAGCCTAGTTGCTGAGGACCCTAAACCCTAAACCCTAAACCCTAAACCCTAAACCGCTAACCTTTCAATTGGATTATATGCCCCAAAAAGGTTCGAGGTTTGCCTACTCAGCTACTAAGTTCGTATTCTTTCCAAGAGGTGTTGCCTTGTCTGTCGAGGGCCCAACTCAGGGTTCACATGCTTCAGGATCTCACCTAGCAGGAGCTAATCGGGTTTAGGGTTTAGGGTTTAGGGTTTAGGGTGTAAGTTTAGGCATGAGCCTAAGCCGGAAAAACCATACTAAGACCTCCAAAAACCTCCAAACCCTATGCAGCACGCTTAACAGTCAAAGATCCTCGGTCAACGTGGCAGCTGGGCACGAAGCTCCAAGGGTCAACGTTTCGAAATTGGGTTTAGGGTTTAGGGTTTAGGGTTTGGGGTTTAGGGTTTAGGGTTTAGGGTTTAGGGTTTCTAGCCCGCTGTTTCTACAGTTGGAGCCGGGACGCTGTCCACACGTTGCTGTCCTGTCCTGAGGGCTTTGGCATGAACGGGGGGGGGGGGGGGGCGCAGGGCTGCGAGGAGGATTGGAGGCTTGTGACACTCAGTATACAAGCTTCGCAGGAAGACAAGAAACAAGGGGGATCGAATTCAGAATAATTCTCCTCCTCTCTTCTTCTACGGCTTTGCAGGAAGATAGTTTGGGAATTTGGGTGCTCTTGAGCCATGACTTAGCGTTGCACTCGTGACTTAGGAAATGCGGCTCGAATTACGCAGAAGACTCTGCTCCAGACCTGGGCATGCGCAAGCGAGCCCAACCTTGGGGACCAAATGAACCCTAAAATTGGGGGGTCATATACCCATTACTACTATAACTCCTATTAAGGTATATGAACCATAAACCCTTTCAGGGTTCATTTCGTCCCCAAGGAACTAACACTTTTCTTTGGCGCGACACATCGCCGAGGCACTATACCGACCTGCCGGGTACTTGGCAAAATGAAGTGCATGATTTTTGTCATGTTCAGGGTTTAGGGTTTAGGGTTTAGGGTTTAGGGTTTAGGGTTTAAGGTTTAAGGTTTAGGGTTCAAACCTCCCGAGGTCACACCTGGGAATGTAAGTTCTCGAACTCATTGCCAAAGGCACACGCGTTCAGCTCTTCAGCCGCGCCGATTTGTGCCAGAGCGGCTAGTGAACCCGCAACGGCCCAACCCTGAAAGCCAAAAACTCCAAGATCCACAAGCCCGTGCGACGTTCGCTCAGCACAAAAGACTCAAAAGCCTACGCCCTTGCGTTCAGAAGCTTCCCCACGCACCGGGTCTTGAACACCAGGTGCGCTAGGTCGCGGACCCCCGGTCGGGCTGAGTCGCTGCAGGACACATCTCATTGCTTGCGGTAGGATCCTGCTTAACCACCTCCTTGTAAGAAGAGCCATGCTCTTGGATCTACTACCAGTTTCCTGCTTGGGCGTGCTCCTAAACCCTAAACCCTAAACCCTAAACCCTGCTGCTAACAATCACGAGCACAGGATCAAGTTGCTCAGCGCCGAGAGCCTTTTCGAGCACAGAGTTTCATGTTTCGGGTTTCTTGGTAATCACGGGGTTCTACCTTGGGCATTTAAGGTGGCACCCTTGTGCTTTTAAGGATCCTCTAGGGGAATATCAAGGCCATACTAGGAGTATATTAAGGGAGACCTTTAGAGGTACAACCTTAAGGGTACGAGTCTGAATCCCTTGAGGTAACCCAGTAGCTATTATCACAAGGGCACCCTGTTTTGGGTTGGCTAGTGTATAAGGGAACCTTGAAGCCCCAAAAAACAGGGGTGGATAAAAAAAGTACCACTGGGCTAGCAAGGTGGAAGGGATGTGCAGTTATTGGACACGGAACCCAGATCTTCCAAAACCCCTTAATTAAGGTATATACCTTAATTCCTAATAAGGATCCTTAGTATAGATTAGGGTATATTCCTTAATTAAGGGGATTTGGAAGATCTGGGAAGCTTTGCATTCAAGCAGGGCACAAACAGACTGGAGCCTCGTGTCCACGCAACATGCAGTTTCAACCTGCCAGGCTGAAAACCCTACACCCTAAACCCTAAACCCGACACCAAAGGGTCGAATCAGAGGGATGCTCAGATGTTCTGAGGCTCTCGGCCTTGAGATACCCAGCTTCGTCAGCAGGATCTGTGCCAAAGGAGTGAGAGCATATTCAAATGCTGCCGAAGCAGTCTGAAGCAGTATGAAGCAGGAAATCTGAGAATACTTCGACGTACTCCAAAACCATACCCAGTAACCTACAAAAACGAGAATGCCCAAGGGGTATGTATAATCTTTCTTCGAGTATAAGGAAGCCATGACCAGAACTGCACCAGTGCAGCTGGGCCGTTCTGCTTCCGAAAAATTCGAGCTCGGAAACGAGCGATGTTGCTGGAGCCCGGGGGCCCGTTAGCAGGCCAAACGCTGCAGCACGGAGCCCTATGCGGCAGCCACACATAGCGGAAAACAAAATTTACAAATTAAGCGTTGGACCTGCGAATCTGCCGCCGTGACCCAATGGCTCTTATGCCAGATATTCAGCGTAAACACAATAAACCCTAACTTCAGGCGGCCCCCAGGCGGCAGAGGCAGTATCCAGGAACAAAATCGTGGAGAGAGCTGATTTTCGTCAAGCCCTGTGTGGCCAGGGCCTAGCGGCTAGGGCCGGAACCATCTTGGATGGAGGCTTCGGAGTTGCGCAGAAACACCAAGAAGTCACCAGGAACCCTTCAACAAGGCTCGAATTCGTTTGAAGGACTACTTGCCCGAGTGCCGTATCCGTGGATCCTGGGTCCGCCCTAAACCCTAAACCCTAAACCCTAAACCCTAAACCCCTGAACTCTAGTGAGCTGGAACTGCTCCAGGCTACGTTAAAGCGCATCTCGGTAGCTGGAAGCAGCCCTTTGTGGGTTCAGCATCTCATTCTGAGAATGGGTTTCCGTAGTCTTCTTCTCCCCGTGAGCTTAGGCCTATATAAGTTTACGATCCTGTCAGGGTTTAGGGTTTAGGGTTTAGGGTTTAGTGTTTACTCGGACTAGTCCTGGAGAAAGAGCTTGACGCGCAGCTTCTCAACACTCTGAATGTGTGCCTCTGTGCAAGTGGCACTTGTTGGCTCGGATTGCCACCGTTAAACACATCGACAAAAAGCCGAGCAGTGAGGGTTTGGGTGGTTCTGCAAGCAAATGTGTCATATAGGGGCCTTAATAATTAGACTAGGGCTTCGGGGGTTGTTATTATAGCATAGTTCTGCAGGGGCCATGAGAAAATTCTACTAGTAGTTATTCCGACGCCTATAGTAGAAAGTTCAACTCAAGAGAAGGGCAAAGACATAACCCCTAAACCCTACGTCTTCACAACCCTGCAAGAGGCGGGGTCTCATTTGTAGTATAAAGTACCCTAAACCCTATTTGAACGAGAAGGTCCTCGCCTGGATAAAGCAGAAACCCTAAACCCTAAACCCTAAACCTAAAACCCTAAACCCTAAAACCCTAAAACCCTAAAACCCTAATACCCCAACCCTAAACCTTTCTTCTGCGCCAGGGCCCAAATGCAGTGCAGCCTACTTGCCCTGTGTCATGTTAGCTGGCCAGTGCCAAGTGTCAGGTCAAGCGCACCCCCCAGACCCCATACCCCGCACACCTGTGCAGAAGACTCTGAAAGAGGTTTCCATCTCAAACGCTGCTACGAACTGCTTAAGAACCCCCCCCCCCCCCCCCCAGAAAAATGAAATATTCTTCCTTATAAGGGTAGTATAGGATTGTTGTTTTATATTTTTGGGGGTTCTTAAGCAAATAGTAGACTGCAGCTGAAAGCAGGTCACGTTATTGTAGTGACCCCTAAACCGTCGACTCGTGGCTGTTCTGGAGGAATTAACTTAGTTGTCCAGTAACCTGGGGGAACTAAAGGTTAACCTTTAGGGTTCTAAGGGGATTCTATTACCCAAAAAAGGTTAAAGGTTACCCACTGGACTAGAGATAGATGCGGATCAACACTCCTAACAGGCCGGAGAACAGCGTTCCCAAAAAATAGACTTGCCGCAGGAAAATCGCCTGGGTGAGCGTCACGCCTCTGATGACGAAGCCGGCAGCGCTGTCCGCGATAAACCTGTGCTGGCAGTGCCCAACCTTGGGGTCATATACCCATTACTACTATAGCTCCTATTAAGGCATATGAACCATAAAGCCTTTTAGGGTTCATTTCGTCCCCAAGGAACTCAGCAGATTTCGAGGTTCCCCCCGCACCCCCCAGCTTACAAAATCTCAAGGGGAAGGTTTGGCTTGGCGTGGTTCGGCCGGGATCCACCCTAAACCCTTATGGGGCATTACGACAAAGGCATCTATGGTGTTGGTCTTAGGGTTTAGGCCTAGGGTTTAGGGTTTAGGGTTTAAGATATAGTAAACCCTAAACCCAAACTTTACAGTACCCCATCACCAGCCAGGGCCCCTGATAGCTAGGAGCATGAGCAGCACTCGAATGGCTGCAGGAAGTGTGCAACGGCAGCTTGCTGCCAGCACTCTCCTACACTGCTTTACTTCTATCCAACGGTAGCAGGCTTCCTTCGAAGCCCTTCGGACATATGCCAACTTGAGGGAGAACGTAAGCCTCCAAGGCACATCATCGCAGAATGATAGTAACCCTTGCTATCTGATGTTCTCACGTCGCAAGCCGAAGCACCAACAATCAGCATGAAATTATTGAACAGGCACTGCAGGCTAAGCAGCTTTACAAGGTACTGGCGCTCGTAGTCTATACTCCGTCCTGAGATTTGGCACGCCAGGGATGCCAGGGGCAACAAAGTGATTTTGGTACCAGGGAATTCTCAAGCCTTAAACCAACCAGGACGGGCTATTAGACCCTATAACCCTTAAAAAAGGGCCTTTATAGGGCTGTTTATGGGGGTTATAGGGCCTAATAGCCCATCCTGGAATGCAGGTTCAGGGGTTTAGAGGTGTGTCCTTGAGCGCACGTGTTCAACAACTGGTTCACGGTCATCTTTCTTCGTGGCCGCACTTCGCGTGGAGCGTTTAGGTTGCCCAGGGTGAAATGTGGATAAGCCCTAAATTGAGTTTCGCAACCCTCTCCACAGCAGAGCTGAGAGTTGATGGCTGCCCTGCTCTTTAAGTCCAGGTCTGAGGCAGCGGATGTAGGTGGGTAATGATAGCTAAAGAATATTCTGGGCGATTAGCAGGGTTATTCCGGCGACACATTCCTTTCCTGCTCGAGCGCAACGGCCCGCATTTGCAAGTCCATCCCATGCCGGCAGCGTTGCCAAAGTTTGGAAGGACCCAAGCCCTGAATGACCACAAACCCCACCGAAAGAAGGTTTCCGGAGCATAGCCTGCTTGTCAAAGTCTTGGGGCCCCCACAGGCAACCCCCCCCCCCTTACCCCCCCCCTATTATAATCCCTATATTCAGGACTGTTAGAATAAGGGGGAACATCCCAAAGTATGAGAACCGACCATACTGCAGCTCGCGCCTGGGATTTGGTTCACCAAC